TCACGGTATCTCGGCACCCCGTTCTGTGCATTCCCCCTGTATTCGGAGGTCATGGTATCTCGGCACCCCATTCTGTGCATTCCCCCCCGTATTCGGAGGTCACGGTATCTCGGTACTCTCTGGAGACCTACTCCTGGATCATTCAAACCTGGACCTCAGCAAACTGAAACCCGTAACAAAACGTTGAAACATAGAGTTAACTGAGAATGAAACTGGAGCCGTGTACAATGCTGTAGAAAAGCACGGTTTCACGTCTACACTTTGGCATTAACTTGGTGATTGTGCATAAACCCCCTTCAGGAGATGCTCGGGCATCAGTACCTATGTGTTCAGGGCTGGGACTGGGGTGGGGGGGTTTCTCTTAGATGCTGCTCACAACATGAACACACAGCGGCTGAGTCCGTGGGCTGACGGCGACACACTTTATTCTGTGGACTCCTTTCTGTGGACACGTTGGACTTTAGTTGCTGGTTTTGAACAATGAGTTACAGGTCATCAGAAGGCAGGTGGGACGTGTCTGTGCTGTGCGGCTTGCCCCTAAGTCCCGTAGCGGCTAACACCACTCTCTCCCCGCCTCCCCCTGCCTGGCCCCTAGGAGCCCCCAGGAGCCCCCAGGAGCCCCCAGGAGCTGATCTGGTAGACACGTCTGGGATGTTCTCTGGAAGCCCTGACAGGTTTTGGATGAGGTTCTGCCTTATAACTGATGTTGTTTATCGATGATTCCATTGAAACTGGCGTGATTTGGACCGGACCGGCCCCACTGGCCCAGAACTCTGTCTCTGGTGTTCACCCAGGGCCGTGCGTCCGCGGTGGCCCCGGGTGGGCACGTGACAACATCAGGCGAGCGCCCTCACTCCTCGATGCTTCCCTCGAGGGTCTGGACGAGGCTCTGATAGGTGTCTCTTTCCGCCTGCCATGAGTGATACCTTCTCACGTACTCCCTTCCGTTGGCCACAATTTCTTTTTCCAACGCAGGATCACGAACCAGTCTCTTTGCTAATTGAACAAACTCCTGCAAAGAAGGAGGTGGAAGAGAATTGGGTGTAAATAATTGGCCAGCAGGGATTTGCAAACGGCTGTCCCTGGGTTAGCTCCCGGCCTCTCCCTCGTCTGCCTCCCGTGTTCTGGGGACGTGGCCTGTAGGGGGATGAGGTGGGGACAGGACAGTGCACGGCTCTGACCCACGTGGTAGGAACGTTAATGCTCCCCACTGGGTCAAGGAGAAAGCCTCCCACTCTTCCTCTCTGCCGAGGGAGGACAGTGGGGTCGGACCGGCCGCACATCATCACCATCAGCAGCAGCATCTGTCACGTGCTTGCTGTTCAGAATCCAGGATGGGGGGATTTAATGATGGGGTTTATGCCCCCTCTCTCCACCGTGTGCCCCGCGGTGGCTCTAAGCAGTGCCCCATACGAAATACACCACAATTTCCAAATCAAAACGTACGACTAGTCAGGCGAAGCAGGATAAACAAAGCCACAAATAACTTCACATCAGCTCAGATACGAGTTTGCTGCCAAGTGAGTTTTGGCACCAAACTCCCAAAAAATCAAATTGCTTTTCAAGCGCTTTTTGGATTTTGGAATTGCAGAAAGGGACTGGGACTCTGGGCTGTCCCATGAGTCCGTTCTCAGAGAAACTGGAGGAGAGAGAGGTTCAGGGGACGTGCCAGGGTCGCAGAGCAAGTGGTCCGCGGCCGAGACAGGACTGCACTCAGACCATTCGGCCCTGGACCCATGTCCCCCTCCTCTGGTCTCGGCAAGCGAAGGCCAGAACGTGAGGGAACACCGTGAGCGGAGAGCCGGCCCGGAGAAGGCTCCTGGGGGCACAGGAGTGACCACAGCTACGTCAGGGGCCTCAGAGGATCAGAGAGGACGAGCAGAGCCCTCAAGAGATGTGGCAGTAAATCTGCCATGAAGTCATCCTGGCCGTGCCTCAGGGACACGGGACGGATGTGAGGCTTGCTGGCAGAGGTCCTCCAGGGGAGTGGGCTTTGGGAGGCAGACCTGGGGGTCCAGGTGGAGGCCGCCTCCAGCCCCTGCAAAGGCTCCTGATCAGCGCTGTCCTGCTGAGGCTGCGTGCGGCCACCTCGGCCCACAAACCCTCAGTGGAGGGGGACGGTCACACCTGGGCTGGTGGCCGCTGTCCTGGTCTGCACGAGTGGCCACACACTGCCCGTCAGAAGCGGGCACAGCTCTCCCTCCCTCAGACCTCAGCCACCAGCCGTGCCTTCACGTGGCTGCAGCTCGCGGCCACGGCTCTCTGGACCGCCAGCTCCGGGAATGGCCCCGACAGGCAGGAGCCCCTAAATGGCCAGTACCCCGGCCATCGGGGCCGTGTGTCCTCCCTGCTCCAGCAGTCACGTGCGCTGAGGAGCACGCGCCACGTCTGGCGTGCGCTGCCCCGGGGGAAAAGCTCACGGTCTCTACGTCCGCGAGAACAAGAGCGCAGATGGATTCACCACCCGTGACAACCAAGAGGCTACAGAGAGCCCCGTCCAACCGGGAAGGGAACGCGTCCCACCTGCGTGGGTCCTGCAGAAATAGGAGGTTGTCTCCAAATGCTCAACTGTGATGCTTCTTCATTTAATTTGTATGTTGTCGATTTTTCTGTAAAAAAAATGTGTGGCCATCACAGCCTAACTCCAGGAGATGGAGACCGCGGGGGCTGCGTCAGCACCGTGCCCACTGCGCTCCTGCGTCCCGTGCACCTCACAGTTCCTGTTCGTCCCCTTCATTCCCTGCAGGCCCGGCACGCGGCGCACTGCGCCCCTCCTGCTCCCCACACGCTCGCCGTCACGCCCCAGCTTCCTGCGCGGGGCTCTGCTGCCACAAGGGCCCTTCCCTGCGGGCCCCTCGTCCGTCGGGTCCAGCCTCATCCTCGCTGGGCAGAACCTGTGAGAGTCCCAGGAGTCGATCCCTATGACATCCGATGGGGGTGGTGCCCGTGGTGCACGGGAAGAGGCTGTGCGGCCCTATCCCAGAGCCCCCTGCCTGGCCCCCAAACCCCACGCGCGACTTGGACTCTTCCCTCCCAGCTTCCACCTCCAGGACCTTGCTCAGTGCCCGCCGTGTAGCAGGGCCTCAGGGAAAGTTCTCTAACTCACCTGGTGCATGCGGGACCCAGTTCCCCTGCCCCGCCTTGCAGAGACAGAACCCACTACGCTTGTCCTGTCGCACGAAGCCCAGACTCCTCTTTCTGGCTGGTGAGACTCTGCACTCCCGAGACGCCTGAGGACCCCTAGCCTTCTCTTGTGTCTGGAGGGCAAGACGTGGTCCCCAGCTAGGAATACGCCGCCCCGGACACGACCTCGCTGGGAATGTCACTGCCATGTGACAGTCCCATCCCTCACTCACACAGAGAGGGGACAGGCCTTGTCCAGAGCAGATGTCTAACGGGTAGCCGCCCAGCAGATCTTCCCCTGGATGGTTGGATGGTTGGAAGGCCCACAGAGCGTCTAAACTAACAGCCGACTGAATTATCAACGTTTACAAATGGGTACAATCCAAGTATAATTTGGGAATTCCAGCCCCTCTTCAAACACAGCAAAGGCTGTGACTCGGGCCTGTGGGCCCAGGGCGGCCGGCAATGGGCCCTGTGCGGACCCCTTGTTCACCCGGGGCACGTGGTCTCCCCCGCGGGCCCCAGACACGAGAGCACGAGCCGCCTGGCCTCGCGGGAGCCTCTCTCAAACCCACTTCTTCTCTGTTCTCCCCCCACACCCCCGACAGCCACACGGACTTACCACACGCCTCTTCCCTCAAGACCTCCCTCCTGCTGTCGGGGCTGACCAAGGCACTAACGGGATTAGCCTTGGTCTTTCACCTTCTGTGGCCAGATTCGGAGCCGCCAGGAGCCCCGGGAGACAGCGCGTGCACACACAGCTAGCTTGGCCACGAACCTGAACCTGACGGCCAGAAGGCGTGGGCTCTCAGGACACCACACGTGGGCAGCAGCCTGTCCCCCGACCGCACCTATGATGCAGAGGTTGTCATGGGCTGTGAAGACGGGGCCGCGGGGTGCCAGAGGCACCGGGAAGGGGTCAGGGAGCGAGGGCCCAGGCACGGACTGCCACAGAGTAGGGGCTATGCTCCCAGAGGGAAGGTCAGGACTCTGCCCCCGCTGTTGGTTTAGTTTTATACAAAGGTTCACAAAATAAGAGGATAAGGGATGCCCTTTGACAACCACTGAGGTCCTTCAGGCAAAGCCTGTGTGAGGTTTGTTTGCTGTTTCGAGGGTAAGTCGGGGGGTGGGTCTGGCAGGTGTGAGCGACCGGCGACCTCCCCGCTTCCTATCCGGTTTCTCTGTCGTCTCCATCAGGGATGGAGAGCTCGCGCTGAGCTGCCGACTCCAGATCCGCCTCGGACGGCAGCGCATTCACGGTTTACACGTGTGCATCACCCTGGGTAGGCTGGCTCTCAGGCCCGCGAGTCCCCCCTTAGCAAGTGAAATGCTGCTCCGGGTCCATATCTGAACTCAACCTTCCACACTCTGGCAGCCAGCCAGCGGTTTGTGCACCTGAGCCCCTCGTTCGCGGTGACTCTAACCACGTGGCCGGCTTATTTAAAATGCATTTTGTTTTGGAGGCAGGCTTCCCACCCTGCGCTCCGTCGAGTCCGGTCGTGAGCGTAAAGAAGACAAAAGAAAGCTGCCTGTGACAGCCGCGTCTAGCGCACTTCTCAGAGTGTGTTAAAAGACGCAGCCTCCCCCCATGTGAAATCTAAAGTGTTCTTTTTTTTAAACATCCTTTGTGACACCAACGTTCCTGTTTTAGAATCAAAGTAAGTCCCTGACTTCGTGTGGCGCAGCGCCGTGTCTGGGAGCAGGGGGACGCGACCCTGTCGGGGCCGGGGTGGCACTCGTTGGCAAGTGTCAGAAGGACTCCCCTGCCGGACACTCTGTAAGACCGCCAGCGTGCTTCTGTCCTCGTGCTCAGACTCATGGGCAAAGTCAGAGCCTCTGGAGTTGAGCTACAAAATAAACAGACGCCGTGTTTGGGGAGGTGAAAATAAAATCTCTGCCAGGGCGGAGGCAACACTGTCTGACCTAAAAGCTTGGCGGTGTTGATTTCCAGGCTTCCAGAGGGCGGCAAAAAGCAATAAGCCTTTGTTTGGAGAAGAAGACAATAACTGCTGTCTGCTCTTCCAGTCCTGATCCTCTCCGGCTCGCGGGCGTTGCTGCCAAAAGGGAAGGGTTAGCGGCCGGGTGCCTTTGGCTGGACAGTCACACGGGAGCCAGCGCCCCGGGCCGCAGGGAAAAGAGGTGAGCATGGTCATAGCAAGAGAAAGGGAAAGCTGTCTCGGATTAAGCGTCCGCTGCAGGAAATGTGAAAACTGAATTTTCAATTATTTGACTCGACAATAATTTTTAAGTATAAATCCCTATACTCTTGAATATAACCTGTGCTCTAATAAAGATGCTGGTAGACAGCACCTAATTTTTAAAGACTCAAAGGACAAAGCTCAGGCCTCAGAGACTTACTTCCTGCCACCGGATGGTAGGTGGCGGCTGTGGCCGTGTCTCTCCCGTGGTGACAGCAGGTCCGGAGCCCCGGCCACGTGCCGTGAGCACACACAGCCCTGTGTGTCCCTCCGTCCGCCCCCATCACCCCTCCAGGAGGCAGCAGGGATGATGAGCTCCGCTTGTCCAGGAGAAAACAGAGCTCAGAGACTCAGGCCAGGCCATACGCCCTGCCCACCGTCCCCAAGGGCCAGCTGCAGGCAGACACACACGGGCCCCCTCCAGACCCCTCCACACACTTCCTGGAGGTCCCCACACACGCGTGTGCCCTGGCCTTGCCCACCCTCCGCTGCACCATCCCATACATTATTTTCAAACACACGTGGATGTGATGCATATGCAGAAGTACTGGCTTATTCTCTACGTTGTGTTGAGGTATCACAATGATCAGATATACGGCAATCTTCTGAAAACCAGTAGGTGTCCTAGAAATCTAAGGTTGTTTCTGAAGAGCACCTGCTTGGAGATCAGAAACCCAAGCATCTCAGAGGTGACCTGACATGCTCAAGGCCATGCCGCTCGTTGGAGGCAGAATCAGGAACAGGAGCAGGTCTTGTGTTTGGGTCTCTGTTCTAGGTTTTTCCAGGTCACACGGCTGCTCCCGTGGCCACAGCCGACATGCTGCACACAGGGCTCCCGCCCCCGGGAGGCAGCACTGGGCACTGGCCAAGAGATGGGAATGCCGGACTGGTGAGGGAAACGCCAATGGAAACCGTTCCAGACAAACCCTTCCTTACCTGCGGGTCTGAAAACAACAGCCCTGTGACCTCATGCTTCACCACCGCCGCGTTCCCGGGGATGTTCCTGGCCAGCACGGGGACTTCCAGATCCATCGCCTGGGGACGGGAGAGAGAAGACAGGTGGGGGGTGGTGATCAAGAGCTTCTCTGGCGCGATGAGCCCGGGTGGGGAGAGTAACATCTATGCCCGCCGGACCTCGGGCACCTCACCCGATCGAAACATTCCACTTTCAAAGTACATACTGCATTGTAATTACTTACTGTTGCCGGTTCTGGAGAGCTCTATCCCGCAAACTTTGACATGATTACCGCAATGGTACAAAGAAACCCCCTCTCTCCAAATGTGCGCTTGACACTTGTGCAGTGACAGTTTGGAGAACACATCCTTAATTATCCTCATTACTCCCCATGAGTCGTTTTCCCCCAGCACAAGCCATGTGAACGGTGCGGGAGGATCGGGCATGTCTCTCTGGCACGCAGACAAGAGTAAGAAGGAGCATGATTTATCATCCCGATTATTCACTAAGCAGGCTTTCCATTCCCCGTGGTCTGGATCAGCACATGGCATCCACCGCCCAGCACAAACTGGCATCAAGACCTCAAAAGATGCCCTAGAGCCCAGCGGGCAGAGTCGGCCTCACCTCCCCAGCAAGGCAGCATCTCTCTGGTTCTCCTGCGGTTTTGGGGAGCCCGACCTGGAAGGCTCTATTTTGGCCTCCTACATTGAGCCTCCTGGGGCTACTTGGACCTGGGACCACTCACCCCTCCTACGGCAGGTGCCCTTCAGCACATAAGAGGGACATCCCTTTGCAACTTGGTGTCCACGGGCAGGACTGACTGACTGGCGCCAACAGCAGACCAATAATCTGGCTGTTACTCTATGGAAGTGTGTTTTAGGCACTCTGACTCTGCCTGTGGCATCTCCCTTCATGTAATAAACATTCGGTCACAAAGGGGTGACATTCCATTTTCAGAAACGTAAGTTACCCACCTGCAGCTGCAGCCAGAAGCCTGTGACACAGAGGCCTTCCTCTGGCAGGTGCTGCAGCAACAGCCGAGCACCCAGAGCATGGTGTGACACACAGCAGATGCTCAGTCAATACCGTGGAGCCAACGCCCTGGAAGCATCTATGCTGAATGAATTCCGAGTCAGTGTTGTCCACTGTAGCCACCGTCACCGCCGGCTGTCGTCTCGGTAGGCTCGTCTGGTTTTCTCTTTCTTCTTCCCCTATGTCATCCCAGTCTACTTTGAGTTTAAGATCTAGGCCCTAGAGAATGCAGAGCTGGCAAGAGCCCTGCTGTCGGCCCGCCTCTGAGCCTGTTCTGTTCCCACCATCGGGGAAAGTGGGAGAGCTGGTTTGACTCATGGATCAGAGTCCCCGCCGTCCTGCTCCTCGCCAGCCGCCCAGCTGCTTCTCCAGCGCAGCGATCATGGGTCTCTCTGTCAGGCTCTCCTGTTGGTGTTTCAAGAGTACAGAAGGTCTCCAAGTCAGATTTTCTGTTGTCATTTTGTAGGGTCATGTCTGGGATCTTCGAGTGGTCATCACATCTGAGAAGGAGGCACCTCACAGCACAGGGGAAAAGTAACCTGAAATGGCCACATCCCAGCACCAGTCACAAGAGCTTCCGGACTCCTGGGTGGCCCGGGTTCTGACATACTGCAGGTGCAGTCTGGCGTCCTGGAAGACAGCATGGGGCCAGGATCAAGAGGCCTCGGTCTTGAATGAAGATCTCGGTCTTACTCTCTTTGCTCCGGGCCCACATGGTGGGCGTCGCCCTCAGAGTGCAGCGCTATCACTTGGAGTGATGAGGAACCCTGACCGGGCCCCCACCGCACCCTGCTCTGCCCCACAATCAGGCATTCGTGAAGTTGCTCCCACGATCCTCCTGGGCTGCCCAGGAGCCACTGAGGTAGCAAGCGCACTGATGTGGTCCTAGATGTCTCCCTGGGTCCTGGTTGCATCTTTTGGGAATGAAGGACTAAACTGTTCTCTAGGCAGCACATGAAAAATTCAGATGTCATTTTGCACAAATACCATTATGTGGTTTGTGGCGTAAGCTGCCTAGCACATCAGCTACATCAGTCATGAGGTCGTAACGTAATGATGGTGAGTGATGCTGGGAGTCCTGTGGCTTGTCTCTTCACTTGTCACACGGTGTGCGTTGCTGACTCATTAAACTAGCGCAACACACTGTGATTTCACTTTTAGACATTTGTCAACTAACTGCCGCGTCCTCCGCACGAGCGAGACCTTTGAGACTGCCTTGTCACACACCATCTCATGCCAGGGCAGAGCTCAGAAAGAGGGTGATCGACATGTCAGGGTGCTTCTGCTGCAGGCGGCCCCCACAGCATTTTCATACTCAAAGGGTACATTTATCCTCTGATTTTGGATAAGCACCAGTGTATTTGTGAAGAATCTGTGGCAGACACAGAGATCGAGAGGAGCTGTCTATAGATGTAGATGTAGAGATAGACAAATGCGGATTTATGAAACCGACGACCAGAGAATCACAGGACCAGCCAGCCGATCCTGAGAGATAACAGTTTAAATCCCTGTCTCAGGCAAAGAAGATCTTATTCTCAGCCTTCCTGTTGCGTAGACTCGCTTGTGTATCAGCTCAACCAGTGCTCCCCGAGCACCCATCCTACGTGGAAGGCTGCGCACCACAGAGAATTGTCCATTCGTTGTCCACTTGTTGGACAAATGTTTGTTATCAACCTGGAAATGGCAGGACGCAGGAGGCTCAGGTGAGGGGAGCAGTTGGTTGAGGGGGGATAGTGAGGTGGTACTGCACAGTAGGAGAGCCTTGCTTGACACAAAAGGCCATAAAAAGGAAACAACATGTCAAACCAAAGGAAGTAGAAGGAAAGCAATAATAAAAGCAGCAATTAATGAAGTAGAAAGCAAAAGCAAAGCAACTGATACATCCAAATAGATTTTCTCCGAAAAAAAATCAGTGGAATAAAGAAGTCACCAGCAACCCTGATCACGAGAAAGGAGAAAGCAAAACCAGATAGACCGAGCGGGAACAGACCACTGAAACTCAGAAGAATTTTACAGTCACAGGAGGATATTTACAGAAGTCTTTGCAAATAAATTTGAAAACCTAGCTGAAATGTGTAGTTACCAGGAAGAATGCTTCTTACCAATTAACCCTGGTAGAAGTAGAAAAGCTTAAACAGATCAATTTCTAGAAGAGAAAGAAGTTATCCGGGAAACCATCTACAACAAAAGGATCATCTCAGACGGTGTCACAAGGGAATTCTGCAAAATCATCAGACTGCATCATCCTAGTGCTGCAGGAACTGTTCCAGATAACAGAAAAGGAAAGAAACATTCCAAGTAATTGTTATGAAACAAGTTCAACAATAATACCAAAGGATGAGATAGAGGGCATGGGAAAGGAAGCCACAGGCCATCCTCATGTCTAACTCTCTCCATAAAAACCTAAAGAAAAGAGTAGCAAACAGAATCCAGCAGCACATAAAAAAATCACGGAAACCAACCATTGCAGTTACTACATTAAACGTGAATGGACTAAACACCACACTCAAAAGGCAGAAATTGTCAGACTGGGTAAAAATAGCAAGACTCACTGTATTCACTGCCTACAAGAGATACACTTTGGATTCAAAGACACAAAAGTTTGGAAGTAAAAGGGTGAGAAAATATACCTGTGAACAGTAACCACAGAGCTGCCCTGGTGATCCTAACACCAGACAAAATGGCCATGAGGACAAGAACTGTTCCTGGAGACAAAGAGGGGCATCTCGTGGTGAGAAAAGGATCAATACATCAGGAAAACATAAAAATTATAAGTGTGCACACACCTAAGGACAGAGCCCCACAGGACCTGAAGCAAAAGCTGACAGAATTGAAAGGAGAAACAGGCAATTTAATCATAATAAGAACTCTCGAAACCCCACTCTCAGTAACTGATAGAACAACTAGACAGACAACCATCAGGGAGACAGAAGCTCTGAACAGCATTAACCCACTTAACCTGACATTTACAGTACACCCCCCAGTGGCTACAGAAGACCCATTCTTCCCAAGTACACACAGTTCCTTCTCCAGGATGCATCATGTGCTAAATCCAAATAAATAAGACAGTATATTCAAAAAGACTGAAGTCATAAAAAGTATGTTCTCGGACCACAGTTTTGGGAACCGGGGTATGGCTGTGGAAAAAGGGGATATAAATGTGGAACAGAGGCGGGGACTTACATTTGAGGTATCATATGAATGCATGTGTACATGTGTGTCTGTCTGTCTGTCAGTCTCAGGGAGAGGTGATGGGGGAGATGGAGCACAGAGGTTAGCATAGGTGAAGGGTCTTCAGCTACTCATTGTACTGTTTTTTTATTTCTCTGGGTTTTAAACTTTTAAGTCAAAATGATGATAATTTCCTTAAAGTGCATGCTCTGAAGCTCTCCTGCTTGGGTCTGAATCCTGGTTCCTTTATACACAGCTGACCCTTGAACAACAGGGGTTTGAACTCTGTGAGTCCAAACCTGCTGGTGGGCTATGAGATGGTGCGGTCACTTTGGAAAACAGTGTGGCTCCTCCTCAGAGGGTTAAACAGAGTTCCCATGGGACCCAGCAACTCCACTCCTGGATACAGACCCAAGAGAAACAGAACCATGTGGCCAAGCAAACACTTGTACACAGATGCTCACAGCATTATTCATCATGGCCAGGAAGTGGACCCAGCCCAGATGTCCACGAACCCGTGAGCAGATGCGTAAGGCAGTGTGTCTGTACGATGGCGTATTTCACAAATACAAAGGAATGAGGTCCAGACGCGTCCTACAGCATGAAAACATTATGTGGGTGACAGAAGCAGGTCCCAAAAGTCCCCATGTCGTCGGACTCCCTTTATAGGAAATGGGAGGAGGCAGATCTGAACGACAGAGAGTAGACTGGTGTTGGCGTGGGGGGCACGTCGGGGAGAAACAGTGAGTGACTGAGGATGTGTCCAGGATTTCTTTCTGGGGTGATGAAAATTTCCTAAAATTGTTAATGCTGAGGGCTCACAACATGGGAATGTACTAAAAACCCCTGAATTGCACACTTTGACTGCACTAATGCTTTAAATGAGTGGACAGATGTATGCTCGTTATGTGAATTACATCTCAATAAAATCGTTGTATTAAAGAAGCATTTTAAAAAGACAGTGCAAAAGACCTCTGAATTTATTCAGAGTGTGTCCTGTAGTCAGGGACAAAAGCCCCAAATCACAGTTTATAAAAGACATGCTCACAGATTGTTTTTCAATAAATTTAGTTGCCCAGTAAGTGAATACTCCATTGCTAACATTTTATTGCTACAGTACTAAATCAAATAAAATGTTAAATGTAAGTGTGGTGATGTCATAGAACATAAATTAATGAGTTTTTCTTTATCTCGAAAATGTCTTTGTTTTCGGTCTGGTGATAAATTTTCAGGCTTTTTCTTTAATGCCTTGTCTTGGCTGTATGGAAATAGCACTTACTAGAGACCGCCTTCATCGGGGACAAGTGAGGTCGCGCAACACGTGTCCTCGCGTGGCGAGTGTCTCCTGCGGGATGGCCGCTGTGGTGGGTTGGGAATGTTTTCTGCGAAAGCCACGCCGTCGCTCCTGGGAGGAGGGCGGCTCACAATCAGGCAGAGCACCAGGCACGGACCGGGAATGTATCTGGTCCTGGTCCCTCCACTAGTACTCCTGCTGTTCCCTCCAGCGGTTCTCTTCCCGCAGATCGGGAAGGCTTTTCTCGTCGTTCAGGGCCGAGTTCAAGGCCACGCTCCCGCTGCAGGAGTGTGCTCGGGAAACACGGCACCGCAGACGGGGCGGCTGAAACCAGGGAAGGTGCCGCCCCGGTTCCGGAGGCCGGGAGTCCGAGAGCGAGGTTCCGGGCTGTTGCTTCTGAGGGCGTGGGGAAGGCTCTGGTCCAGGCCTCCCTCCTCGGCCCGGAGATGCTGTCTTCTTCCTGGGTCTGCGCGCGCCTGTCTGTCCAAATCCCTTCTTCTTACCAGGACACCCCGCACAGTGGCTAGGGGTCCACCCTAATGACTCCTCTTAACGCGACTGCCTCTGTAGAGACCCCGTGTCCAGAAGAGGTCCTGGGAGTTAGGACCTGGACCCTCGGCTCACACTCACCACTGACCAGCACTCCCTCCCCGACGGCTGACAATGGCCTCGCCTCCCACCCTGTCGCATGGCGCCCCCCTTCCCCTTCGTTTCCTGCCCAGAGCTTATTATGTTCCTTTATGGGTGGCCTCGCTTCCGGTTTCCAGTTCCTTCTTTCTGCTCCAAACAAGGGCGTAAATTCCCTAGGATCCAGGACTTTTCTGTGTCCTGCTCACTGCTGTGTCTCCAGAGCCCAGCCCCGAGCCAGCGCGTGCACCCAGCACACCCCGGTGGAAGGAAAGAGTGCACAGGTAATGCGATGACTGTTTCCAGGCTCCAGGCTCCGTGTCCCCGAGGCCTGGGGGCGGGGCAAAAGCTACGTAAAGGGGGCCTGATGTCGTGTATTCACAGACAACGCACTCTGAAGTCCTCTCTTCAAAACTAAACTGTCGCTAGGAAAGGAAATGTCTTCAGAAGGAAGAAGCGGGTGGGAAGGCTGTTTTCATACGGCCAAGACACGGCACTCAGGAATCTGATGATCGATTCTTACATCACTTTCTCAAAGCGTGACGTCACCTCCTTAAAAACAAGCTGCCTGGAAGAAAGGCGAGGTCCCAGGGCCAGACAAGGGCGCAAAGTGGGTCCGGACAAGACCTGGCCTGGCGGCGGCGTCTTGTGCTCGACAGCGTAGGGAGATGGGCGCGTGTACCCTGCGCACGCTTTCCACCGGTGAATGCAGACAGGGCTCGTGCAGCGCACGGGGGTGGCCAGCAGTCCAGACCTGGGTCTGGGGTTCCGACAGTGAACGGTGTCTGTGCCGGGTTCGGTCCGCCCGCATCCGATTTCTCCCCGCGGGAGCTCTCCACCTGTCATCAGTGGATGGAAACCTCTGATTCCACCTTGGAAGGAAGCTTTGTAGCTCGTGCCCCATTTTCTGCAGAGCTGCCAGAAGATTCCAGAGACCCTGCCTCCCCTCCACTTGCATATCCGCCTCCAGATGCAGCTGCCGGGGCTCCCTCCGGCCAAAGCCGTGAAGCGCGGGCCATGAAGGGTGGGCACCGTCACCTGCATTTACGGAGGGAATTCTGATTTCTGGAATTCCGGATTTTCTCGTGGAGAGGTTTGCTTGGGTTTTCACGGCCTTGACTAGCACGTGTCCAGTACAGGGACCGCTGCCTGTCAGGTGGGGACGAGGCGGGTCCGAGCATCCCCTGACACAATGCGCTGCATTCGGATCTTACATTGCCGGGGTTAGAAAGCTTCTCAGCGCAGAGGCCCAGGGCATTTGGGGAGCAACTCTTGGATGCAAGAGACAGTCTTGCGCCTTGAAAAATACTTCACCTCCCTGCAGGCCTCTCCCCCTCACCCCGCTCTAAATGCCTGTGACACCCTTCTCATTGTGATGCCTCAGAAGGCCCTTCACTCTGTGAAGTGGGAAGGACACAGCCGGGCCCACACCCAACACACTTTGAAACTAGCCACGGCCAAGAGGGCACAGAGTCACAGCTGTGCTCGGAGAGCCCTGCAGGGAGGCTTCAGTCACGAGGGTCTGGGCCCGGAAGCTAAGAGCCGAGAATTCTCCTGTTACTCTTGGCTGTAGAATACGGCCTTCCTTCCCCCTGGGCAGCAGAAACTGACCGGGAGGGTAGCACACGCGTGTGTGTGCGTGTGCACGTGCGTGCGTGTTCCGGGTGGGGGGACTGAGGTAAGAACATACTTTTCTGTATTATTTCAACTTCATTCGATGCAACTCCACAATCAGCCCAAACTGGAAACCACAGATTCGCTGTAGGAATATTCACCCTACTGCCCACACTTCTAGCTCGAGCTTGATTTTTGGAGTTTCTCGGTAAGAGATGTATTTTAGCAAATGAGATTTTTGTATGCCTCCATGAGAAAACAAAGTTAATTCTGGGAGGTCGAAAGATCCCTTCCTTCAAAAGTGATATGTGTTCATTCTGTGATTAACCACTTGGGTTATCTGAATGGATTCTAATGAAATGCACCCAGACCACTCCCCTGAAATCAGCTTCATTCAAAACCCTCAACCCAAAGGTTATTTTGGAGTTTGCAAAAGGAGCACAACATCAACATTTAAGACAGTCACATTCGCTAACAGCTGCCTTGCCTTTGAAGGAAATGAGGTTTGACAGCAATTCATCCGCAGTGAGATGCGCTGGGCGCCAGTGATGAAATCATTCCTGAATTCTACTTCACTTCTTCTTGGGAACTTGAGCAAGAAAATGTGTATTTACATACAAAGGAGCAGTTCAGCACCGGCTCAAGGACGGGTGGGGTAAGAACGTGCCTTTCTGAAGCTGTCAGGTGGGGTGCGAAGGCGAAGGGCGCGGCTCCTGTGGCTGGATGACGCCACCCGCCAGCTCAGATGGAGGTCTCGGCCTGAAGACGAGCGGGTCACGGTCCACACTGCACGCTCTGGCATCGAGGCGTGGACATGCAGCTCGTACCCCTGGCTCCCGGTGTTGCTTTGGGGTTTGCGCTTTGCTTTTTTTTAAAGGAGGCCACAGGAAATACTAGGCATGAGACAACAGTCGGTCCTTCAGTTTAGGGAGGATTATTTTTTGGGGCTGCTTTCGTGATTTACTGTGTTGTGTGAAACACTAAATTGTACCTTCTGCCGGCAAGTGCAGTAAATTCAGTTAGTGTCCAAAGGAAGAAATGGATGTTACAAATAGGATGAAAGGATGGCCTCGCTCTAAGCATGCATTTCTCCCCCAGTGAGACAGAACACGTGAAACCGCTTCAGAGGCCCAGGGGCGCAACGGCTGGAGCCTCCTTCTCTCGAGCAGGTTGTATCGTGAGCTAGTCCCTAATTAGGCACATCTGCCGCGTGCATGGCACGTGTTCAGAGCTGTACGTGACCGCTCGTGACCACATGCATGCTGTGACTCATGACCGAATGTTCTGGGCGAGCTCCGGGACTGAGCACTGGTCTGGACGGAGCGAACGGAGGCCACCCTGTGCCGAGCTTGCTCTTGAAAGGGAGTCCAGCCCGCAAGGATGTGACCGCAAAACAAGAGAAAGGAAAGTCCTTTCTGGAGCCGAATGCTAGACGAGGGGATCAGCTCTCCCCTCACGGCCCTGCCCACTCCCTCCCCGTGCACCCGTCACCCCTGCTCCATGGTGCGCGCCCCCCCGCCACATGTGCAAGCCCCAGCATTGTTGTCCCCTGAATGCTGGGATTATAGAGCATACTGAAAAGGAGGAGAAGAAAATCAAGAGGAAGGAGACTTCTTGCCCAAACACACCTTCATCCCATTTCCTGGCCCCACCTCTTAGAACCAAAGCGCCCTTCCATCTAAGATATTTAGTGGGTCAGAGAGGTGATCTAGTTTCATTTTATTTTGTAGCTGCCAAGGACAAATGGCAAAGAGAAATGAAATGATTTTTTTTTAAGTCTCAGAACTTAAAAACTACTTCTGAGGTTCCAAAGAAAGGCTGTTTTGCTTTCCAAGGCTCTGAGAGCCGCAGACCTTGATTGACAAGGACACCGCCTCATAAAGGAGAACAGGAGGGACGTGGCGCTTCCTGGCCCCGCCTTCAGGACTCAGGCTGGGTCATTACCTCCAGAATCGCAGCGGACATGCCCTCAGACACGGAGCTGTTCACCACCGCGAAGCAGTTCTTCAGCGCTGCGTGTAGGTCCTCCTGGATCATCTCTCCCAGCAGCCGCACCCCAGCTGTCCTGAAACAGGAGCAGGGACAGCTCTTTGCCACTGGGAGTCTTGTGGTGGGGGGGAAGGGGGGGTGGCTGGAGGGAGGACAGTAATTCTGCAGATGGAGAAGTCGGCATATGGACGGCACAGTATGGGGAGGGGGTTCTCTGCCCTTCCCCGCCCCTGATGAGCCGCCGCCGCTGTGAATCATGCCCCCCAGGTATCGGAAGTCAAACATAAGGTGCTGGCCACTTTTTCTAATAATGCGACCATTTCTAAAATGATTGTTTAAAAAAATACTAATAGGGACAGTAATGGACATACAATAAACAGAAACAGAAATGCTAAAATGCAGAATACAACAAGCACCCAGGTGTCCACTGCCCGGAGCGGACATATCATATGGGTTTTGTCTTATTTTTTTTATCCAGCAACACTGATTCGTGTCCTCCAACACCCTCTCCACCACTCACATAACTGCCTACGGTTTTACCTGTGAGCACTCTGGGTCTCTGAGCCGTATAAAGACGCCCACGTATCTATGGGGGTGAAATCAGTACTTTGCAGTCCCCTGTGCTGACGGTGGCCGGTGACATGGAGGGGCCGTCCTGGGGGACCGTGAGGAAACCAACTAAAAGGGGACCCTTCTGGTCCCCGCCCTTTCCTGGGTCCCCGCTGAACACTCGGAATGTGCTGGAGGGGCCCTGGGGCCACCTGTCACCCTAAGGATGTGGTCCCGGGCCAACCACATCTGGCCGCTTCTTACGTGAGCAATTAGCCCTGTGTTTCAGCCTGTGTTCTGGAGCGCCTGCAGCGGGCACTACCCAGCACTTGATACCTTAGGTCTTTTAGTTTCTGCCAATGTGATCAGTGGAAATTACAACTTCAAAGCGGGTTTCATCGGCATTTCCCTGAGCGAGGGAGGATGGGCATCTCTGCTCCCGAGGGCACGGCTCACGCTACCAGCACAGCATCCTTCCTGTCGAGTGGGGGGAGTAAGAGCGCCCGGAGCCCCTGGGGTCGTGGGGAGGTTACACGAGGCAGCGTCCGTGAGTGCCGGGAGCAGAACCTGGGTGCAGGGAGTGCGGCGCAAGCATGGGGATGGGGGTGAGGGGCTGGCCACTGGGCTTCCTCTCCTGCAAAATGCTTGTTCGCTTCTTCCACTCACCTCTTTACTTTGGCTTTTACTTCCCTTGTAAACACTGGGTCGACCTGAAAAGAGACAAAGATAGATTTTAGGAAAAGCCTTTCGTGAGCCTAAGTCTCGAGAGAACGGCCTGTCATGGCCACAGAGACAGACTTAACAACTCAGGAAGGAAAAAGTCAAACCCAACAGGAACTAATACCCTGATTCCCCTACCACATAATATGGGCAGGGAGAGAGGAGCACTGGGGAGGAGCTCAGAGAAATGCACGCGTCCTCCTGTCTGCTGCTGGGCGCGTCCCACGGGAGCCTGCTGCAGCCCCGCGGGCGGTGGGCCAGCCCTCCCCCAACTCAGGCCCAGCCACGGGGCATCCGCTGGCCCCACGGCGCTCCAGCAGAGGAAGGGTCTGCGTGATTCGTTGCAGTGGCGGATGTTGTCATAAAACCTTTGAGGCAGAATGAACTGGAATCCTTAGCAGATGTAAGACAAAGGACCTGACAGAATTAAAATTTTATTTTGACAGGGAGCCTTCCCAGAAACACAATTTTCAAGCCAAGGGCGCGTCCATCAAGCTGATGTGTGGACAAACACACGGGTCCATCCACACAGGGAATATAACTCAGTCCGGGAAGGGCTGAAGCGCTGACGCCTCCCACACTGTGGAGGACCCCAGAGAACACGACATTCCGTGCATGAGGCCAGGCACTAAAGGCCACTTACTAGGTGAGTCCATTTCCGTGCAACACCCAGAATGAGCAAATCCGAGGAGAAAGAAGGTCGGTAAGTGATTGCCAGGGGGGGGGGGGGGGGGGAAGTGCAGACAGTGGGGAGTGGCTGCTAACAAGTCTGGGGGCTCTTTGGGGGTGATGAGAATGTACCCGAATTAGGGTGATGGTTGCAAAGCTATGTGAACATACTAAAAAACACTGGATTACATACTTTAACATGGTGATTTTGATGGCATAGGAATTATATCTCAAAAAAAAAAAAGAAAAAAAGCCAAGAAAAGTTTTGTAGTTAGTCACAGCCTGGTGTCCTTGAGCCTGGCTCTTCCTCCTGTTTCACATCCGGAGGCACTGTGTCCTTCGGGACAGGCCCGTGTTTTGTCTCTCTGCACCCTGCCGATCGACACGTTGAAGTAACGCAGAGGTTGAAGGCGGTGTGCCCACCTGCTCTGCAACACCAGTGACTTTTACTGCTTGCAGAGAGGCCTCAGAGTTTTAAGCAGACCCATTCACAGATGTGTAAGGACCAGAAGGAGAGGCGGTACAGACCGAGTGGGGCTCAGTTCGCCCGGCCACCCGCTGGCTCCCGGCTCTGCCTGTGTCGGGGGGCCTCTCTGGGCCTCAGTTCCTTGGCTGCACAGTGAGAGTCGTCACGGGGCCTCGGGGTGGTGGGGAGCATCAGCACCCGTGACCGCCCGGGACGTGGTCACTGCTTAGGGGCACAGAAGGAAACGTTAAATACCGTTCTGGAAAGAATGCGCGTGAGAGCTCAGATCTCAGCCCTGGAACGGAAAGATCTGTAGGCGTCCCCTCACATGCACGCTGTCCCAGAGACGCTGCCACATGTCTCCACACCCGGGACCGGCGGTGACGAGCAAGACGCCCCAGAGCCCGGCGGCCGTCACAGTGTTCACACGGGGACGCACACACCCTTGACCCTCGGAAGCCAGACTGGAGCACCGGCCTGCGCACATGGCTTGCTCTCGGAGGCACAGGAGGACGTGAGGGGACACTGTCCCACTGTCACAGGGCTCCCATCCAGATGGAGCCGCAGCGTGCACTCACCACCTGACTTGCCCAAGTGCACACTCAGCCAGCAGACCGCGGCTCTGCCTGGGCCGTCCCTGCACTGCTGCTGTCATCGATGAGTACACACGGTTCTTCGGTTGATGCCCACGGGACACCACATTCTGGGCACCTCTCAAAGATACAGAGGAGGGCTTAAACCCATTTTACTGATACAGTGTCTGTCGCCTTGTCTTGTTCTCCCGATGAGCAAGCTGCAAACACAGATTCAATTTCTATTCTCATTCACACTTTAGCGGTAGGTATTAGGAATTACAGAACAAGTCGGCTAATGAATATGACAATAGCCCTATACTTTATCATGCCAACTGAAAAAACGTTGTGCCTTCCAGAAACTTCATTCCAGTTTCTTTTGGCAAGAGAATGCCGCATGTGTGTTGGACCCCAGATCCTTCAAACCACTCGCATTGACTGAGATGCATCCCAAGAAGCTAACACAGCAAATCTGGATGCGTAAGGAACACTGAAACTATCCCCAGAAAAAATGTTTTCAGAGTTTAATGTATTTTAAGAGCAAAGTTACAGGAACAGCACAGAGGACCAATGCACTTGCATGCAGGACCACTCAGGGAGAAAGACTCTATGTGGGTGGGATCCCGCGTAGGGTACAGACGCGGAGAACACCATTTAGTTGCCGTCCATAAATGATCTGTTTGCTCTAAGAAAATCCAGACGCCTGCATGATCCAGGTTTGTGTATAATTGTTATAAAATTCAGTTGCTGAA